CCCGACGTTTAGTCCCTACGTCCTGCCGAAGACCCGACGTCCTGCTCAGGGCCCGACGTTCAGTCCCTACGTCCTACCAAAGACCCGACGTCCTGCTCAGGGCCCGACGTTCAGTCCCTACGTCCTGCCGAAAACCCGACGTCTTACTTAAGTAACTGATTATAATCTGATCACCCTTGGAGGTGATTCAGTCCTTTGTAACCAACTCAAAGTCTAGTGGAATAGTTTTCAACTGGGCTAGGCCTCGTGGTTTTTCCCTTTTTAAGGGTTTTCCACGTAAAAAATCTTGTGTTCTCTGTGTGTGAGCTAGTTATACGTACAACGTTAAGACGCATAATTAAATCTCTATCGCCGCGTATTTTCTAGCCCGCAACAGTTTGACGCCGTTTGTGGGAAGGCCAATCCCACTATACTAAGGAATCCTCCAATGGTCAACAGGCGTAGCCACCGCATCATGGGAACCTCCCGCTCTAATTCACACCAATCCAGGAATCAGTCCCTGAATCAAGGACAACAGCCATCTGCCTCCTTTCACCAAGGTAACCGACACCCTGCAGGAGAAGGAACTTCAGGGCCATCCCTAGAAGAACGTATCAGAAAAATGGAGGAATCTCAGAATGAGATCCTCCAGCTCTTAAGGGGAGCTCGAGGACCAGCGCCAGTACCCCAAGAAGATACTCTTCTCCCTCGAGATCAGCCAGGATTCGAAGACATTCTTCATGTCGAAGTCCCCCTTCCTCCGCCAAGGATGCGCCCTCCTACACGTCCAGAGAATGAACTTATTTGGAAGATTAGAATATATTAAAATAGTTCAGTTTATTGTCTCATTATCGAAGCCAAGAGGAGCTATAGGATCAAAATTAAGAATGCAAATAATATGGCCCTTAGAACTTAGAAGACATAAACATCTGTCACGGGCGATCTTTGTTTGGGAGCGAGAGTGGAGCAAAAGAGAAAATGGAAGCCATTCTCGAGGTCGTGACTCGTGAATCATGAGAGAGGAGTAAAGGGGAAAACGAACCATTGATAATTTTCATGTGTCTAGAAAAAAAATTTGGTGGCTTCTATAGATTAATAAATAACTTTAAAAGGAATAATTACAAAAATTATAGCAGATTTTTTTGTTGGCGAACTTATTGCTCTATTAAGCCAATAAAACAATCAGCTTTAAGCCCCTTTAGGCTTTCAGTTTTAGCATTAAACAAATCCTTTAGAGGAGATCTCTCGTACTAAGTCATGAGTGTGTGGC